GTCTCAAAAATAAATAAAACGTTAAAAAAAAAATAAAAAAAAATGTTACGTAGCAAAGATAACCAGACCACTAATTGATGTGCCTCTTTAATTAGGAATTAAATAACAAGATCTAGCAGCAGGTCTAACAAATACCATAATTTTGAGTTAGCAATGAGTGTCATCAATATACTGAGGTCTTGGCACCAACTGTCATACGATAAGAAAATATCGGTGATTTTGATTGGTGACCAAGTCGCTGGTGCACGGCCGAAGGAAAGGCTCCCTTTCATTTCAAGACTAATGAAAAGAAAAATAAAAAGATGTCCCAGCCAAGTTCACAAGTCCCCCAAATTCTAGCTGCAGAGCCCGAGTGAAGAAGCCCTAGTTTAGAGAGAAATCGGGGCATCCCTTTGATGGCTGATTCTGTCCTTCTTAAGGATTCAGTGAAGTTGCTTTTAGAGACAGCTGAACAGACTATATTTTTAAATGTGTTCCATTGGAAGCTTTAAAAATACCCCTTTTCATTCTTCTCCCTTCCTGATGTGCTATCTCGATTTTCTTCTACCGCAGCCCTTGCTGTCCCTTAGCGCTCTCCCCTCCTCTCCACCCTCAGAGCCCAGTGGGTCAGGCCCCGGAGCCCCTGGCCTGGACCACACGGAAGTTTCTTTCAGTCTTCAGTCACGCCTGTTGCCCCCCCCCCCCCCCCCCCCCCCCCCCCCCCCCCCCCCCCCCCCCCCACTCACTTCCCTGTTCCCGGGGAAGCTTCCTAGAACACAAATGCAATCCCATCCCTTCCAGATCCCAAGTGGACTGTGTGAGCGAGGGGGAGACAAGTTTCCATGACAAAAACATTCCAGAAGCAGGCCTGTCTCTCCTGGCCACTGTTACTTTGCCAGTGTCATACGATAAGCTCCCCGGTGCTCACGCTGGTCCCAGCCTCGCTGGGTTTGCTTTTTGTATTTCTACCCTCTGCGAATGCCTTGTGCGTTCATCCCCAAGGCTGGCACGGACTGACCTGGGAAGACGAGGCCGGCATCACCTTCTCCAGGAAGCTTCCCTGAAGCTCCCGCCCTGAGCTGGATTAACCACTTCTTCTATGGAAGGATGGAGTTTTTCTCTTACACATTCTATCAGAGGACAGCACACACACAGCAAAGTGCATGTATCGTAAGTGTATCACTCAGTGGGTTTTTAAAATCATTTTTAAAGCTTTATTTATTTTGAGAGAGAGAGAGAGAGAGAGTGCAAGCACTAGGGGGGGAGGGGCAGAGAGAGAGAATCCCAAGGAGGCTCCACACTGTCAGCGCAGAGGGTTGACTCAGGGCTCAACCTCACAAAGGGTGACATCATGACCTAAGGGGGAAATCAAGAGGCAGATGCTTAACCGACGGAGTCACCCAGGTGCCCCTATACTTTTGTACCGGTGTATTACATTGTTTTAAATGTTTTTAATTTTGAGAGAGGGAGAGTGTGTGTGTGTGTGTGGGGGGGGGGGGGGGGGGGAATGGACAGAGAGAGAGAGAGAAAGAGAGAAATAGAGAGAGAGAGGATCCGAAGCAGGCTCCACACTGACACCAGCAAGCTCGATGCGGGGATTTGAACCCACGAACCGCGAGATCATGACCTGAGCCGAAGTCCGATGCTTAACCGACTGAGCCACCCAAGTGCCCGCCCCTACGTTTTTTTCCTTTTTCTTTTCTTTCTTTTTTTTTTTTTACAGATTTACTCAAATCTTTTTTTTTATTTT